AATAATCATCCACCAACAGAAGGAAATACCGATAGCCACCCATAGAGGGAATATGACATGGCCCCCACTTATCAATATGAACAATATCAAAAGCAGAAGAATATCTTTTATTACTAGTTTTAATAGAATATCTACAATGTTTTCCAAGTTGACAACCTTCACACTCTAAACTGGACAAATTAACAGACTCAAACAACTTTGGAAACAAGAAATGCAAAGAAGTAAAAGACAAATGCCCTAACCGATTATGCCAAAGCATTATCTGACCCATTGGCTTTGACTCAATACCCTTGTTAACATGATGACACTGATGAGTAGGAAGCACATCAAGAAGGTAAATTCCATTCACCTCACAACACTCCCAACCGTCCTTTTTGATTCCAGATCCTACAAAGCACAATGACCAGGAGAGAAAATTACTGAACAATTCAAATTTTGTCAAACTACTAACAGATAAAAGGTTAGTACTTAGTCTAGGAACATGGAGGATAGAGGGTAGAAAAATGGTATCGGTTATCTTGACAGACCCTTTCCCAACAATGGGAACATGTGATCCATCAGTTGTGGAAACTTTATCTCTGCCAGAGTAGAGGTGGTATGAGGGGAAATTGGTGGAAATGTTGGTCATATTATTTGAGGCTCCTGAATCTATAATCCAAGGGGGTCCCTCCTTACCTGTTGTGGAAACATAGTTTGTAGTGACATGTAAACTACCTGTATGTGCAAAAGAAGTAGAATGGCCACCTCTTGATCCACCTGTACCTTGCTGTCCACCCGATAATGGGTTACAGCTGACTGTATCTCTTTGGTTTAGTAACTGCCCATATCTCTCCAGTTTGGCCCTCATTGCAGCTGCTGCAACAGACTCCAGGGAATCTGTAGTAGGTGGTCCTGATAAGTCACTAGTTACAACCATATTCACATTTCTCTTCTTGTTTCTAAGTCGGCTCGGCACAAGGTGAGGGTGAAGCTTCCAACAGGTATCTTTGGTATATTTAGGCTTCTTACAGTAGTCACAGATCATATCCTTCTTATCTTATTTCCTGAGTTCATTTCCACCCCTGTCTCCACTCTGCTTTGGTTTCACTGTGCTAACCATAGCAGACAGCTCAAGGCCTGGGTTCCTCATCATCACATTCCTCCTACTCTCCTCTCTTGACACAAAGGCATATGCCTGAGAGAGAGTTACACTGTCTCTAGAAAAAATATGCTGCCGTGCAATGTTATACTCAGGGTTAAGTCTATCTAGAAACTCAAAAACCTTATTCTTCTCTAATAGTTTTTGGTAAGTTGTTGCATCCTTGCTACTTTCCCAAACCACAGTCTCCAAATGGTATATCTCCTGCCATAAGGTTTTGAGGGCTGAAAAATAAATAGCAACAAACTTATCTCCATGTCTGGTAGCAATTACATGGTTCCTCAACTGGTAGGCTTTAGCAGCATTCTCATTTTGTGAATAGGTTTCTGCAACTCCACCCCAAATTTCCTTAGCTGTGTTAGCCCATAAAAAGTTTTTACTTATATGGGGCAACATGGAATTGCATAGCCAAGTCCTTACCATATAGTTCTCTTGTACCCATCGGGAGCAGTTAGTTTCGGGTTTCTCTTCCTCACTTGTGACATACCCCAATTTCCCACAGGCACCAATGGTCATCTTTGCAGATTGTGACCACTCTAAGTAGTTTGTACCATTAACTGTAGTGATGGTCCCGACCCTAAAAAAGACTCCAACACCTCCTCCCCCTTGTCCCATCTCACCTCCAGGTTTGTTTTCAACTCCATTGCCCTCCATAATTCTCAAAAAAAGATTAGGAAATCACTCTGAGATGAAAAAATAGGTATTTATCTCCTTCAGACACCTCAAACATCCTTCTGGTACCCTAGAAGCTCCTCCCTCCAAAGATTCCTTTTTTCGTGGGAGCGGGAGAAGAGAGAGAAGAGGCTGCTGCTCCCTCCAAAGGCCCCCAAACAAGATGGGACTTGAACCGCCCCTTCAGAAAACTTCAAGAAACCCTAGAAAAATAGGGCACCACTTCCTAGGTAAAAAATGAAGAGTCCTTCCAAAACAAGACTTTCTCCCCTTTCTCTAGTTTTTCTTGATTTTGGTAAAAACCCTAGACCAGCTACAAGGCATAGTTTTAAGGCACCAAGGTGAGGCTAGGCGATAGGGGGGCGCCAAGGCGAGGCTAGACGATAGGGGGGCACCTTGTCGCCTAGTCGCTTAGGCGATGGATTTTTTTTTAAGTAAAACCATATATCCTAGGATAGTTCCCTAGGTTCCATAACCATCTTTCCTTAATAATTATTCATAATTTTCATAAGAGAAGTATAAATTTAATGTTTAAGTCTAGAAAATCAACATTTTATGAGAAGAAAAAGAAGAAAGGAAAGAAATTTCAAAAAATATAGGGGCTGAACCCCTACTTTTGTTATAGGAAAGAAGAAAAGAAAAGGTGGAAGAGAAGAAGAAGAAGATGTGGAAGAAGAAAATGTGTTGATTAGACAAAATTTTAAGTTCTTCCCTTGCTTATTGGTTCAGGTTTTGAAAATTTTGAGGGTTCAATCAAGGATCAAAATTTCGATACAATACTCTTGGCTGGTTGCAAAAGGGTACACTCAGACCTATGGCATAGATTACTTGGAGACTTTTGAACCAGTGGCAAAGATGAGCTCAGCCCGAATTCTTTTATCACTAGCAACATACTCATGGAAGAGTAAGAAACAAATAATTGTGACAAGGTCAAGTGCAGAATCTGAATATAAAGCCATGGCACATGGTGTTTTGGAGCTGTTTTGGGTCCATTCCTTGTTAAGGGAAATTAGAGTTGAGGCTGAAGAACCTATGATGCTATACTGTGACAATCAAGCAGCAATTAACATTGCCCACAACCCAGTTCAGCATGACAGGATGGAGCATATAGAAGTGGATAGACACTTTATAAGGGAAAGGGTAACATCCGTAGTAGTGTGCTTACCATATGTTGCATCTAACTTGCAGTTTGCTGATGTTCTTACAAAAGGTATTGCAAGAAACAAGTTGGAGCATGATCTACGCAACTTGGGAATGTGTGACATCTATTTCCAACTTTGGCTTCTCCCATTCTCTTCAATTTCTCTCCTCTTTTCTTCTCCGCATAAACCTTCTCTTCTCTTTCTTTTCCTTTTTCTTACATAGGTTTTATATCAAAACAGATATTCTATACTTTTCTACTATAATGAAGGGTGAGGAGTTGAGTTTAATTAAGGGCTTCAAAGAAGGATGAATTGTTTTTCATCTTTTTTTTTTTGATAAATGATTGATAATTTATTCATGATAATCAGAATGAAAATACAATACATCCTGCCCAAAGGAGAGGCACGAGCTGGTACCTCTCTGCAACAACAACAAAGTACTACATCAGACTAAGAAATGAAAGTTTACAGAGCTGCCCAGAATAAATGTTCCCTTGATACCCCTTGCTTAGCTAACCCATCCGCTATGGTATTAGCTGTTCTACCCACCCACTGATAATTAGCAGTCATGTTCCTTGAAAACCAATTAGCTTTCCTCATAATATCCCTGTAGCACCAAATAACTGAAGCTGGATTTTTTATCCAACCCACAACAACTTTGGAGTCTCCTTCAATAAGCAAATTCTGAACTCCTAACTGGTTTGCAATCTGAATACCTTGTACTGCCGCTAGAAGCTCAGCTCTAATAGAGTCTCCTATACCCACGGAGCCTGAGAATAAAGCTAATATATTACTATCTTTATCTCTCAGCATTCCACCTATCCCTGATAGACCCGGATTTCCTTGGCTGCTACCATCAAAATTCAGCTTTGTCCAGCCTTTTGGAGGAGGCACCCACACAGCTGGTACCTTGTTCTTCTTGTTACTGCTATTAGCCACAGCAATCCAGTTCCTCCAAATGTCATCAAGGGAATATATTTTAAAGGAATCCAAAGATCTCTGCCAATGGATTGCCCTGGTCAAAATGCAATCCTTTACGTTCTGTATATTTCTCTCATTCTCTTGGAAAATCCTCGCATTTCTTTCTTTCCAAATTGTCCACAAAGCAGCAGCTCTAATGCACCTTCACATTGTTTTACCAATTTTTGTGGGCCACACAAAGAAGGAAGGGTCAAAGATTTGATCTACGACTGTGGTCAAATTCCATCTGCAACCAAACAAAGCAAAGATCCAACCCCAAATAGCATCGGAAAAAGAACAGGTTAAAAGTAAGTGAGAGCAATCCTCACCATTAGCCCTGCAAAGTACACATCAATTAGGAGACAGACACATAGAAGGCCTTCTCTTCTGCAATGTTGATTTTCCTATAGAACACCTCCCAGCAGAAAATAATAATTTTAGGAGGTACAGGTTTAGACCAAATCTCCTTAGTTGGGAAACCAACTTGTCCTGAGGGAGAGCAAAGGGACTTAAAGGAGGCACATGTGAAGTAACCTTTTGGATTAGGGGACCAAAGTCTCACATCAGATCTTAAAGGGTCCAGAAAAACACAATTGTTTTTCATCTTCACTAAGCTTAGTGGACCAAGCTGCATGTAGTTTGGCAATTATGCAATGCTTTGAGTCAGTGTCTAAGTTGCATATTATCAATTACACATTTTAAGGCATCTTCATATTCCTCCATACATCATTGCCTTTTGTTTTTCTGTGCATCATGTTAAAGCTACATACTTTTACATCATGCTACCATTCTTTTTATAAGTTCTGTTTACAGATAAAAAATGAGGGTGACAAAGAAAACCTTTCAAATATATCCATATTTTTGGGTGGCATACCTTTTAATCTTTCCATATCTCTTTTTTCTTGTCCATGTCTGTGTTAAGAGAGGGGGATGGGCCCACTCCGCCCCCTTGGCTTTTCCTTCTATACCTGAATATTCTGTTCTTATCATTGGAAGCTTATCATATTAACTGAAGTTTAATGTGAAAAATTAACGTGAATATTATTAGAAGATTGTTGTTTAAACCTACTTTGTTTCAATGATGTCAGATTCTATGTCTGTCTGGAATCTACTTAGAGAGTTTCGCATCAGAAAGGTCCACATGGCTGTTGTTCTTAATGAATATGGTGGAACTGTAGGAGTAAGTTCATCTCGTTGATGTTTCTCTTAATTTCTAACAATTTTTTTGTCTGAATTTTGAATAGTGCTCAAAATTTTAAAAACGTGCGTTCCCCACTGGGATTTATCCTGAACAATATCAATTTAGATATGCCACTGGTGGTTGCCCACTTCATGTGTGACCAATGTGTTTCTAGTAATTGTTCACTTGGATCCACCTGATGCTTGGCTTCTTGTATGGTGAGAGATGGCAACTGATATCTTGGAATTTGGATTAGCTGAGCACCATGGCTATTCAGCGGGCTGTGGAACCAATGATATGCCCCCACGCCATTGATAAATACATGGGGCCCACACTGAAAAGTTAAATGATTGTGGGTCCCTTATATTTTATTACTGACGTGGAGTTTTATCATTGGTTCCACAGCCCACTGAACAGCTATTGCATTCAGCTAATCTTTTCTTGATATCTTTGGTTGCCACTCTATATTTATTATAGTCATGAACATCTTCTTGATGGGCATGTTGATGATTTGCCTAATTGGGTACTGTTGAAACTTGAAACATAATATAGTTATTGCTAGAAAACCCATAATTTGGTCTATCCTTGCCAGTGATTGTAAGCTTTTGGTCTGGACCAATATACTGTATCTAGCTGAAATAGTTGGGTGGCTTTGCAATTATATTGCTCACATAAATTTATTTGCTATAAATGTTTATATTATTGTGCCAAAAATTCTCTCTTAAATAGAATCCAGAAAAGAATATCTTTTTTGAGACTAAGAATTGAGCATCTTAAGTAAATTTTTATTACTTAAAAACTTAGCAGTTAGCAATTTTAAAGTTTTGAAAAGTAACAAAATGCAATCCAAGAAATATATAAGCTAAGGTGCTAAACTACTAGATCCAACAGAGACTAAAGAATCAGATTTATTGATGCAATAGTTTTTTTTTTTTTTTATCAATAACAATAAACTTTATTAATGATGTGAAGCTTTGTGAAACTTTAATTACGATAGGGGAAGGTAAAATGTCTTAACTCCCCACCAACAGAATAAAGGGAAGAAAATAAAAAATTAGCCCAAAACAAAGATTCCATATTCACCCCTTGCTTGGCTAACCCATCGGCAAATGTGTTAGCAATTCTCTTCACCCAGCTGTATTTCACCTCAATATCCCTAAGCCATTTGATTGATGCAATCGGTTGTGGGCCTAAGGAAGGAGAGGTGGCCCTTTCTGACCTGTAAAACAGCCCTCAAGTTCATCCTTGCTGGCCAGATTATGGGCTAAAATCCACAATGATTTAACTTTTATAGGCCCACTTGCTCAAATAAATGAAACCTGAAAAATCATCAAGTGAAAACTTTGCTTAAGTTGTGGATCTACCATCTTGGTGAATTCTCAATTTTCTTGGATTTTTCACTGGTGTTTATTAATGTGAATTCTGCCATGACTCTTATGCAAGGAAAGCTCATGTATTTTGCTCAAACCTTAGATGTTTTCTTTGTTATGGATGACACAGCTAGTGACTCTGGAAGATGTTGTTGAAGAAATTGTTGGCGAAATTTTTGATGAGAATGATTCAAAGGTAAAGCTCATTTGACTTTGATATTGTGGTTTTTGTTCCAATAGTTCTGACACTAAGACCTTGATAATGTAATGGTGTTGCATTGCATAATTTGTGCTTTCTAGAACTCTCCTTGATATATTGTAAGGGTTATCTTCTTTCATGGTATTAATCTTGATTATTGACTGTACACCTTAATATTTAATCGTTTGTATTTACTTTTTCTATATAACAGGAGGAGATTCAGAAAAAAACAGGATATATTGTAATGCGAGCAGAGGGAATATATGACGTGGATGCAAATACTTCTATTGATCATCTTTCAGAAGATCTAAGTGTCAAATTGGCAGAGGTGTGCTGTTTCAATTTTGATGAAGAACAAAGTTTCTACCTATTATTCCTTATATTTCCTATTTTCCTTATGCTTTTATCATGTTACTTTTACTCTTTCTACCCATTGTTTTATGTGAGAGCTGTTAAACAATGGTTCTATTTTTGGAATGGATTGGCTATCTAGATGCCACTTTAGTTTGCTCTTGTTTTAGTTCTTGCTTTCTCACTCTCAGCTTGGAATTAAAGGAGTCTCTCTCCTTGGGTAGCACTTTAAATTCTGTGTGCCAGAAAGGCAAATGGATATGAGCTTCAACGGATGTTGCAAAATTTCAGTGCTTCATTCCTGTTTTCAGCATAACCAATATGAGATGTACAAAGCATAAAAGACACTTTAGTCCCATATTGAGTTGAAATAGGAGACACAGAAAGTAGAAACAAATATGGAAGAATAATAGATTGGAAAGAAAATGGATCAATAGATAGAGGTGCAAAGAAGGATGAAAAAACCTATTTTAAATTTTTTTTTGGTACTTCTGCACTTTTTCTCCTTTCTTTGGCTTATCACAGTTTCACCAATAATTTGGTTTCAAGCCAGGTGGGAGTTTATTTCAGAATGGGGTGCTCTCTCTCTCTCTCTGGGAGGGGGGGGGGTACTGTACTGCAGAATGGGAGTGATAATTTCTTTCTCAGATAGGGAGGCCTGGCCCACTTGTGATAAATGGTGACTTTTTTTACAATTAAACTGTTAAAAATATTTTTCTTTGACAGATGAACCAGGTTTGAACTGGCTAACTATTGAATTGCAGTTGAATGATCTATCACTAAGTTACGGAACCTTTTTTTTTATCAATAACTGTAAAATTTTATTGAATATTAAAACAGGCTACGCTTAAGCATACAATGAAGAGAGATAATCCCTCTTAACTCTCCCCTAAACTCTTTCTCAAAATTACAATTGAGCCCAAAAAAGTTGATCTCTATCTGCCCCTTTTTTTGCTAATATATCAGAAAAAGAGTTCACACTTCTTTTGACCCATTGCTAGCTTACTTTCATATCTTGTGTTAACCATTTGAATATCTTTCTTTCATTGTTATAATTCCAAAATCCAACCTCCTCCTTTTGCAGCCAACCCACCACCAGCTTGGAATCTCCTTCAATAATCAACCTTCTAATGTTCATTTCCCTAACCCTTTGCACACCTTCCATTACAGCCATAATCTCAACCCTTATAGAGTCTCCTACACCAATTGGGCCTGAAAAAATGCAATTATTTTGCCCTCCTCATTTCAGAAAACACCTCCAATGCCTGAGGGACCTGGGTTTCCCGCACTACTTCCATTAAAGTTAAGTTTGATGAACCCACTATCTAGTGGAGACCAAAGGGGTATAAGGACCATAGGACCAGCACAGGATCAGCCTAGGCCCTGGATCTAAAGACATAGGCACAGCAAGGCTCAGTATGGAACCTTGTTAATGGGAAACTTTGAATGTAAGAAAAATATGGTGAATTTATCAGGTCTGGAGGCCTAGGGTTGTGCCTATATGTTTAGATTGAGGGCCTAGGCTGAGCCGGTGCTGGCCCTATGGCCCTTACACCCGTATTATCAAAATCTGGCCTGGTCCATGATTACCCCTAGTTTGGAATTAAAAGTCCTCCATGCTTAGGTTGTCTTCATGATCTGCAGTCCGAACTGAGATAAATAGCAGCAAGGTTCACATTCTGTGAAAATTGTTGGCATGCGATGAAAGTTGCAAGAAGGCAAGAAATAGTTGCCCAAAGAAGGAAGCTCTTCTCAGCCATTGGATGTTTCTTGAGGGGCTTTGGTTAGGACGTTGGCTACCGTGGGGGCGACACCTGTTAAGTCTTAATCCCAGGCTCTGACAAAGGCTTTTAATGAGCCTTGCATGCGCATGGTGCCCTTTTGTTGACTGGGAAGCTGAAGAGTCAAGAGGTTGGGGTTTTGTTGATCTAGGTTGAGGAGTTGAACTGGGTTAGTTTGGGGGGACCTAGGCCTCCTCGTGGGTTTTGTGAGTTCTCACATCAAATGAGAGGGTTGTAAAGGGAATTGGGCCTTGTTCTTTACAGTTAGCGTTTGGAGGGAGGAACCATGGTAGTGGGCTGCTTTTTGTTGACAGGCCTAATAACAACAGTTCGCATGTGACTTGAACTAGACATGTTAGGAAGGAAGGTGGGCTTTGGCGACAGTCTTTTTGTTCCATCTTCATCTTCCTTGTTCGGGACTTACAACCATGGGGCTGATAGGAGAGCAGAAAGGGGGATGGAGGGTCCAAGGGTTCCCACAGGTTAGAGTGTAGAGGTGAAAGGTAAGGGTGATTATCTTTGGTTCATCACACAATATGACTACAGGAAACAAAATTCGAATTCAGGAGACATCTTTGTGAAGGACTGAAGGATAGCAGAAGAGATTAGGAAGACGGTATTCTTAATGAATAGATCCAAAGCTTGTTGGGATGTGATAAAAAATGATCTTTGTGAGGTTTTTAATGAGTTTGCAGATAAGCATATAGTCAGCCGAGGCATTAATGCTACTTTCTTGTCTCTAATTCCAAAGAAATCAGATGCCATCCATCCTAAAGACTTCAGGCCAATTAGTTTGGTGACTAGTATCTATAAAATCTTGGCAAAGGTGCTGTCCTTGAGGATTAAAGAAATCCTTCCCTCCATTATTAGCCAGGTCCAAGGGGCATTCATCCAAGGACGACAAATAATTGATCAGATCCTAGTTGCCAACGAATCTGTGGAGGAGATGAAGAGGTCTAAACAAAGAGGCTTTGTATGTAAGCTTGATCTTGAGAAAGCCTATGACTTGGTGGATAGGCAGTTCCTAGTAGAGGTTTTGAGGAAGTGTGGGTTCAGGGAAAGATGGTGTGGTTGGATGTTTGGTGGAGTCAATCTGGACTTTGAGGAGGTTGAGGGCCTGAGGCTATTGCAAATTGTCTTCAGTGCTCCATTTCTATTTGGCCTTTGTCCTATTTAGGGCTGCCGTTAGGGGCAAACCCTTGGGAGAGTAGGTTCTGGACCCTAGTTATAGAGAAGTTTGAAAAGAGATTAGCCGTGTGGAAGAAAAATTACATCTCTTTGGGTGGGAGGATCACCTTGATAAGGGCTACCCTTGTGAACCTACCTACTTACTACCTCTCTGTCTTTAGGATACCATCTAGGGAAGTGAAGAAACTGGAAAAATTAATGAGAGATTTTCTTTGGGAAGTGGGAGAAGGTAAAAAAAGACCACTTAATCAGTTGGGAGGTTGTGGGTAGAAGCAAAGAGGAAGGAGGATTAGGGATTGGGAATGTGCTTAAGAAGAATTCAGCCTTGTTAGGGAAGTGGTTGTGGAGGTGGCCTATGGAGCGAGATAGGTTGTGGCATGAAGTGGTGAAGAGTATTCATGGATGCTCAGAGAGTGGATGGGATATTGGTGCTTCAAGGAGGGCTAACCTAGCAACACCTTGGAAAGCAATTCACAAAATTCTTCTGCAGTTCCTAAGTTGTATAAGGTATGATGCTTGTTCTAGTAGCTCTATTCGGTTTTGGGAGGACATTTGGGCGGGAGATCTTCCCCTAAAAGACCTTTTTCCATCCTTGTATTCTATTTCTTTGTATAAAAAAGAGGTGATTTCAAAATTCCTTTCTTTAGTTTTAAATTTATCGTCTTTGTCTTGGGACTTTTGTTTCCGTAGAGGGTTAAGGGAGGATGAAATTGATTGTTTGTTTGCTCTTCTTGGTCTCCTCAATAAGGTTTGGTTGGATTCTTTGAAGCCTGATAAGAGGATTTGGGCCATTCACCCTAATGGGTCTTTTTCTTGTGGTTCCTTTTTTAATTTCCTGTACCAAACCTCCTCTCAACAAAGTTTTCCTTCCAAAGAAGTCTGGTGTAGACTGGTTCCCCCCAAGGTTATGGTTTTGTGTTGGGAAGTGTGGCATGGTAAAGTAAGCACGACGGACAACCTACAAAAGAGAAGACCCTTCCTATGTATTTCTCCAAACTGGTGCACTCTTTGCAGATCTCATGGTGAGGATTGTTATCACTTATTTTTATCTTGTAGTGTCACTACAGAGCTCTAGGTTTGGCTTCTATCTTTGTTTGGGTGTAGATGGGATATGCCAATAGAAGTAAGTACAATCTTTAACCCTTCTATGTTCTATTGGCCCCAAAAAAGAGGAAGGAAAATGTGGAGGTGTGCACGAGCAGCCTTGTTATGGACAGTTTGGGAAGAAAGGAATGCCAGGATCTTCCAGGAAAAGGGGAGAAGCAGTCAGGCCTTGAAGGACTGCATTTTGTATAGGGCAATACATTGGTTAAAAACACTGGATTTGTTTGATCATTTCTCCTCTACTGACGGTTGGAGGGATTGGTTATCAGTAGCAAGTTGTTCCTCCTCAAAGATAAAGGTAATGACAAGCTGGGTCCCCCCTCACGATTCTTTGAAGCTGAATTTTGATGGAAGTAGCCAGGGCAACCCGGGTCCCTCTGGTTTGGGAGGTGTACTAAGGAATGAGGCTGGAGAGGCTGTCTTACTATACTCTGGCCCTTTAGATGTTGGTAACTCTATTAGGGCAGAGCTGTTAGCTGCAATACAAGGAATAATTCTTGCAAAAGAAACGGGTGTGGAGCAGCTTTTGGTTGAAGGGGACTCTAAGACAGTGGTAAACTGGTTAAATAATCTGGAGAATGTCACGTGGGACTACAAGAATGAGATAAAGAAATTCAATTGGCTGACAAGGAATATGTCTGTAACAGTACAATGGGTTGGGAGATCAGCTAATGCTTTTGCTGATGTCTTAGCAAAACAAGGGACAAACAGGGAAACATTGTTTTGGGTGCAACTGTAATTTGTGTCTTTTGTAACAGTCATGCATTTTTTGATGTAATTTTTGTGTTTTCTGTATGGAGAGGCAGCACCTCGCACCTAAGGGGATTCTCATGTAACCGATCTTTGAATTAATGGAATATGACTCTTATCAAAAAGAAAAAAAGGACTGAAGGATAACAGTGTT